TAAGAACGTGACCTAAAACATGACTAATGTTTCAGTCATCTAACTTAGATTTACTGAGCAATGTACTCTGGAGTTTAGGAGAGGTATGTGTGTGAAATAAATGGTACCTAAAGAAACTAAAAGATGTTTGAAAGAATGAAGGGAAGTGTTTCCCAGAGTATGTTCAGAGGAACAATAGTTGTGGAGGATGTCCAGAAAGTCAAGTGTACATGGCCAAACGAGTTTGGGAGACACTGCGTTATCTATGCCCTTTCAGAGAGCAATTATGGTATCCGCATATTAAAGACTCTGAAAGGTCCCATGAGTAAGAAACAACTTTATTTTACCTGGCTTCTCAAATGTACTGGTCTTTGAATAAGAACCTAGTAACGACCCACAGAGCACATTCTGAGAAACACCATAGTTCAAATGAACTATGACAGGAAATTCTGTTTCTCATTTGGAAGTGTACCATGTAAATAATCCAGTGCAGAGAAATTGTATGCTTTTATTATGTTAGATTTAGAAATGAAAATGTAAGAATTGCATCCTTATGACAAATGGAAAATGAATCAGATTTACTTGACTTGCCCAGCGATTTTTAATTTTTAGAATCTTCTATATAAACTAGTAATTATGATGATGCAGCCAGCAAATGGTATATAATTATACCCATGAAATAGTGGATAATGAGCACTTTTAAATGAAAAAAAAATCCCTAAAGTAATTATTGGATGATGAAAATAAATTAATTCATTTTGGTACTTCAAGAATGAAAATTACTGTGATCTCACAAGATAGATATAGACATATAGGTTCTTTCGTGTGAAAAATTACAACACAAAAATGGTGAAGTATTAAAACAATGTGGCATCCATTGCCTTTTCTCCTATAAATTTGGTCTTAGACCTTAAGAGGGTACATTTCCAGAGAGGCTGGTAAGCAGATGTTTCATAGCTAGTGAGAGATGGGATCAGGATTCTGGCCAACTATTCTTATCTCTGGGGCCCACACACTTAACCCCTAACTAGCTGCAGCCAGTAAAAAACAAATGTAGAGAGAGCATTTCCTTCTTCTCCCTCTGCTTTTATCTCCAATGTCCCAACCACGTAACAAAAGTAAATTGTGTCGTAAAATTCTAAACTGCCATCTTATTTACTTTGCTAAACTATATTCCTTCTACATGGCATTGTATTTTGGAATATTTCACATTAACATTGCAGAAGTTCTGTTTTACTACATTGCTAAAATTGCTTTAATCTTTTAGGCCCTATCTGTACAAAAATATTCACAGTATTTGTCAATAAAATAGCTGCTAGTGATGACCATGCACTGAATCCAGTTGATTCTGTGGAGATAGACTGTTAATTCAGCCCCCAAATCATAAATTGATCAAAAATAGTTTATTTAATGCAATGCTTGGGTTTTTATAACAGTTGTGGCATAGAACTGCAAATGTTTCATAAAATTTAGGTATTTGCTTTTTTGATGTAAGAGATCTTCTACCAAACTTTGAGAATAATTATTTCTCTGATTTATAAAGTTTCATTCCTTAATAATATTCCTTAATCACAGTTTGCAGTCTGAGTGCAGGGTGTGCCTAAATGTAATTATTGAGTCTTTTCATAAAGTTAGTCCTGGAAAATTAATTGATTGCCAGTCAGTAGCAAAATAATCATAAAAATAAACTTTTAAGTTTTCATTTAAAATGTAAAGATATTTCTGATAAAGTGGATTATTGATTTTGGAAATGAGTATGGGGGAAATTATTTTTATAACTGAGGTGTGACCAAGCACTAAGACTTTGGAGCACACTTGTGAGCCTCTGTGTTCGGACTGCTCCTCTGTAAAAGTTTGGTGTTCTTAGATCTTAGAATCTCTTTTTCTTGTGGTAGGAAGTCTTGGGTGCTGAATGGTTAGTTCAGGTAGGTTTTACTGTTCCTTTACATTCATGATAATAACTAAGACATTGCTGAAACAGCCTTTCATGACTACTTCTTGAGAAGTCCACTTTCTGACATTTGGACTTTGACACGTCCTCCAGGATAGTGTGTGTGTGTGCTCATGTCAGGTTATTGCCTATACAGTGTGCAGCACAAAGTGCTAGAGTGCCTGGTTGACAAGCAGTCCTCAAATGGGCCAGCTCTGCAGATGGAGAACCTGAAGGAGGCCTTTTCGTGCTTGCACGCAGCCCACCAAGTTCTCCACGCTGGGGCTTTCATATCCTGGTGTCCTCCCCAAGGCTGTCTTTATCCCATTCTTGTTGTGGTATTCAGCCTCTTTTACTGTTTACTTTCTGTCTCCCCCAACAATGACTAATGCAGCAAATATTTTATATGGTAGCTGCCACCATTCTGGACACTGAGGCGATCAATACTAAGGACCTCGTTAGCCTTCTTGGCTGACCACATAGACCAAGACACCCGTTAGTTAAATACACAAGTGGTCTGTTCAAGAAACTGTAATTTAATGTGTTTTTAATTATAGTTACTCCCTTGGTTCCAGTTCACCTAAACACCACCAAATCTCCCTGACTTTAAAGCAAGTGATAATTTTTTTTTCATATCAATAAATTCTGAAATCATCTAAAATTCTCTACTTACCTTAAAAGCTAGAATGTGGGCCCAGGCTGGAGGTAATGATATCATAACTGATATTTTTAGAATTTTGTTATGGTCTTTTAGAATATGCCTGATTAGAGAATTTGGGGTTAGATCTTTCTGTAGTTGGAAAAAGGCAATTGATACACATGGAAAAAGGAAGAATTTATCTCAGAAATAAGTGAAACAGCAATAATTGCTGTTTGACCATTTACAATGATGACCATTTACAATTATGGTGTCATTTACATATTTTGAGCCTTGGCTAATCATAGATAAAATATTTATTTCATCAGTCAGTGTCAAAGACCAACTATATAATAATGTAGCGATACCTGTAGCACCTTATAGAAATCTTTTTAATTTAAATTTTTTAGTCGACTTGATATAAGGTCAGTTCTTTTAATACTTGCCTAATGTTCTGTATTGTATTGTATTGTATTGTATTGTATTGTATTACTAGTTTCGAGTATATAGTACATTGGTTAAATGTTTATATAGTTTATAAAATGATCTCCCTGATTGCTCTTTCTCTCCTCTGGTTCTCCACCTAGCCAATACATTAATACTAACTGTATTCCCTACGCCATGCTCCCCATCCCCGTGACCATCTATCAACTACTAATTTGTACTTCACCCCTTTCTCCCAGCCTCTCAGCCCCACTCCCCTCTTTGCCTAATGTTCTTTGATAGTCTTCAGAATCCACTAATTATAATTTTAAAAAATTATCCATTGGAGATTTTACTGATTGGAACCAAAAGTAGGTGTCATGAAAATCTCTGGCCTATACTCCTGAATGAATAATCATTGAAGCATACAAACATTCCAAAATCAAGCCCCCCATATATTTTTGTTTTTACCATTTTAAATGATCTCAATCGTATTGCATATTTTACTGTCTTTTAAATAATTCATAGTGAAAATTTAACTTTTTTGAGGATTGCATGCCTAGCACAAAGCCTTGTATATATGAGAGGCATCTGATGTATTAGAAATCTCCTTTCCTTTTAAATGTGATATGATACAATGTTGTTTCAGGGACCACAGAAATTTGAAGGTCTGTTTGCAGCTACAGTAAGGATCACAGAATGTTGTCTTTTTGTAATTGGCGATTATTCTATCTGCTTCCTCACTGTCTTATGCCACTGCTTAGGTTGAAGCAGTTTAAACCACTTATTTCTTACTTCAAATTTTCCCTCAGGCCAGACAGACGATCACCAGAGGAAATGAGATGACTACTTTGAATATCATTAACCTCATTTTTATTCCTAGATCTCTCTGTAGACTCTGGCCAGTACTGGGGACTCTGATACTCAGTTGGAGGCCCATACCTTTGTGTTTTGTATAGGTATTTTTCTATACGTGTTGTAAGCTTTCATCTTTCCTTTTCCCCCAGAGCTACTGACTCTGGCTTCTAAGCTATGTTTTCCATCACATAGACAAATTAATTCATCTCTCTGGGCCTCAGGTCCTCAGCCATAAAATGGGCATGTTAATAGTATCTGCCTCATAGGACTGTTGTGAGGATTGAGTTAATATTAATAAAGTTCTCAGAGCAGTGACACATAGTAAGGGTTAAATAATTTAAGAAAAAGATTGTCTGACCACTGGATAAATGGCTCTTGACACTTCTTAAAGGAAAGAAAAGATCTGGGAAGATGCTTCTGATGCGGGGCGATTTATACTTTCTTTTCCCAGGTAGGAGTGGAGTGATGTGGAGGAATTTGTATCTGAAGCAGAACTGAAAAGTGTTGCCTAAAATATCTGTAAGAAATGCTGGCCATGAGCCTGGGTCCTGATTGGATGAAGTAATATATGGAAAGATGTTAATGGCAACTCCTTTGGGGCTCTTCAGAGTAGATTTTAAAAGGAGACGAGAGAGATAAACTGGGTATATACAGGGATGGAGGGAATTTGGGCCAAAGCTTGTGCCAGGAGCTAGCAGTTTTCTTCTAACGAAGCCTAAAACAGAGTGGTTCTCAGAGAAGAATAGATACATATATAAATTTTCTTAAACACCTGTCTGGCTTACGTGTTTTTCCCAGCTTCTTCCATGGAGCAGGGCACTCACCATCTGCTTTGTCAAAGAGAGCAGACACTACCTTTGTGTGACATGTGCAAGGATGTGCTTTGTCGGCCACCATGAAACTTGGGACCCCTTCATTTTGTCCCCAGGTTCTTCTTGGGAGCCCAGGAGGCAGAAGATTTACTGTGCACTTGGCTTGTCTCTGCCTGACTGTGCATGGATGGGGGCTGGTCCTGATGTTCCTGGCACAGGGCTTGGTCGCTCATTCACTCAGATGGCCGCCCTTTGCCCTGGCTCCCTCCCTGGGCCAGAGGCAGCTCAGCTGTAATTTGCTTTTATGCTCCAAGGTGCAGCCCTGTCAAACTGCAGCAAATGTTTACCTTATAATCCACAGACAAGAAGAAGGGAGGCAAATTCCAGCCTTTTAAGAAGTTATTTGGCAAAAGGAAAAAGAAAGACACTTCACTGTCCCAGGAGGCGTCAGCAGGA